ACAGGCAGTTTCTCTTGAGTTACAGCCAAAAAGGGCAGCTGGTCTTACCATTTCTACTTATCTCTCTCTTTTCTCCTCCAAAGCATATCACATATGTGCAATTTCCAAACATACAAGACACATGCAACTCAGCATACAAAACATGCCATGCAGGGGACCCCATAGGGACCTGCTTCAAGACAGTGTATATCTTGGTTTCATCGTCACAACCCCAGGGCCTGACATGGTGCATGGCCCATAGAGAAGGCTCAGTAACGTGTGCAGAAAGTTTAAGTTCCCAGGAATATACCACTCTAGGTCCTCCTTCCATAAGAATTATTATGAGGTACAAAATTCCACAGTAGACTTAAATTAAATACTGGCTATCCCAAAAAACTTTAGATCGTTAGCTACAACCATCCAGGAATAATAAGTGAGATAAATATTATTCCTCCATGTTGTACAGTTAAGACCTCTTCCCAGCAGCCGGCTCACAGCTTTGGACAGCACTTGCCTACACTGTAACTAAACCTAGCTCTACCTCTCAGCAGACACATCCTTAAAGGAAAGCAGCGGATTCCTGGGCCTTAAAAAAAACATGCTGACAGGGGGCTGTGTATGCAAATCAGGATAAATAAAGAGTTCTAAAAGCAGAACTGGGAAAGTCCTGGATTCTCCACATGCTTTGGTTTCTCCTGGGGCTGTAGGACTCCCATGTAGCCACACAGAGCAGAGCTCCTGAGGTGGCTTCATGAGGGCACACTTCTCAAGACACTGGACAATTAACCCACCTTATGGTTTGCAATATCATTTTTAAAAATGCTATCTTGACGCAGCTTTTTTAAAACAGGGTCTTGCTCTGTTAATCAGGTTGGAGTGCAGTGGTGCAATCATAGCTCACTATAACTGCAAATTCCTAGGCTCAAGTGATCCTCCAGCCTCAGCCTCCAAGTAGCTGAGATGACAGGCATGTGCCACAGTGTCCAGCTTAACCCAGTTTTGAGGCCCTGGCTAGAGACCAGCCAGTTCGCCTTCTCCAGCAGCACATTAAGTCTACACCCAACCTTTTCTCACACTGGGGTATCACACCTGGACCACTATACACAGGCCCTCGCCACTCCAGGGCTACCCTGAGCCTCGGGGCCAATCCTCAGCCGATCTGCCTGTTCATTGGAAGCCACAATGCAGATGTTTGCCCACAGTCCGCCTCTCCCTCCACCTCATGGCCAACCTCTGTGCTTCCTGAGTGGCCCTGCGTGGGTGCCATGTCTTCTCCTCAGGGAACTGTGAATAAAATAACTGCAAAACTTTTCCCAGCCTCTTCTCGTGATCTGCATCTGTCCTCACCAGTCCTCACCCAAGACAACATGGTTAAAACATGGGTGTACAAATAAAGAGGCAATTCAAAGGTTGTTCTCGATTGTGAATGTCAAGGGGCTGCCAGCAGTTATCATAACCTTAAAAAAAAGCCTACATGAGAAATTGTTCGAAGTCACAAATGAGTGACTCCATGTATGAGCTAGGGAAAAATCACAGCTTCCCTGTAGGAAAATGCAAATGTCACACTGCAAGAAATGTGTCATTCCCATCCCTCAGAAGTTACTTTCCCGGTATGGGCTTTGGTCAGATACATCAAAATGTGGTGACAATTGGGCACAGTGCCCTGGTGACCAAGTCTTCTGAGACGTAGGCATGCAAAGGCACCTCTGTTCTGTGGTAAGAAGGATGTCTTGCAGTAGCCTGAGTGCTCATCGTTCAGATAACGCATGGGGAGCCTTCTGGTTGCCAGTAAAGGGACACTATTGGAAAGGAAAATATGAAGGCAAGGCTTTGGTGGCGGCAATGGAAATATAGGGTCTCCTCACGTTTTTGGAAGAGCTCTCTGCAGCTAGGGCCTCACCTTCCTGGCATTTCACAGGACAGGCAGAAAAGCTGGAAAACAGCAGCAGGTGGTTGACGGGGCTCTCCCCCGGTCACGAGTGGGTGTTCTGAGACTTAAACATTCGGGAATTGCCTCTGGCACCTTTCTGATTCAGGTCAGAACACTGCAAAATAAACGGCTGTGGCCAGGCGTGGTGGCTCACGCCTGTAATCCCAGCACTTTGTGAGGCTGAGGCGGGTGGATCACAAGGTCAGGAAATCAAGACCATCCTGGCTAACACAGTGAAACCCCATCTCTACTAAAAATACAAAAAAATTAGCCAGGCATGGTGGCGGGCACCTGTAGTCCCAGCTACTCAGGAGGCTGAGGCAGGAGAACGGCATGAACCTGGGAGGTGGAGCTTGTAGTGAGCTGAGATGGCACCACTGCACTCCAACCTGGGTGACAGAGCGAGACTCCGTCTCAAAAATAAATAAATAAATAAATAAACGGCTGCAAGCTTCATGGTAAATATTCACTAACGTAGAGGATGTGGATGAAGTTCCCTGTATCAACACCATCTTTCATTGCCAGCAAGTACAATTCGCACCCCTCACCACCAGGACCTGTGTTTAACCTGCCCATGCACAAGGATTCCCTCAACAGCCTGCAGGCCGCTGGTGGGAGGGGCCTCACTGTTGCTCACCAGAAAAGGCTTTCTCAGCTGTGCTGAGTTTTCTTTCCGAACTCCCTCTATGTGGCTGGGACTCATAGCCCTCAAGCCCACATCTTTCTCTCTGTTGCCTACCCTGTGCAGTCTAGGAAGACACTCATTGTGCCAGCTTCCCCTGCAACTACAGGGGGTCATGTAATCCAGTTCTAATACATGTGAGGTCTAAAGAATGGGTGAGTTCTGACCACAGAGGGCAGAGCTGGCCCCCTTGCCTGGGCTTGGATGTCAACTCTCGTACTGATGATCACGCGATAGAAACACACAAATATGCTCCTAGGTAAGGGTCAGGAGAATGGGGATAAACATGATGATGGTTGTAACATTAGCTCTCTAGAGGTCTGTTTGTGTGTTGAGGATAACTTAGTTTTTGGTAAAGTTAAAATGATGTACAGTTTAAACATGAACAAAAAATATATTGTCGGTTGTGGACCCACTATTCAGAATTTGGTAATTACATGTGGTTCAACATATGGGCATCCATATTATACCTGGAAAATAAACTAGAGGAAGCTCTCCCACCCTTATCTCTGCACCTTCCTCCTGTCTAGGTGTTAGACCAAAGTGAAGAGACACACAGGGGTGAGAATCCAGGCCTGCACTCATCTCTTTAGATACAGACAGCTGCGTTTGGATGCAACATGGCACAACAGCTTTGATATAAATGTTTATATTATTAAGAATAGAGGCCAGGCACAGTGGCTCACTCCTGTAATCCCACCACTTTGGGAGGCCGAAGCAGGCAGATCATGAGGTCAGGAGATCGAGACCATCCTGGCTAACATGGCGAAACCCCATCTCTACTAAAGATACAAAAAAATTAGCTAGGCATAAAGTAGCCGGGCGTGGTGGTGGGCGCCTGTACTCCCAGCTACTCTGGAGGCTGAGGCAGGAGAATCGCATGAACCCGGGAGGCGGAGCTTGCAGTGAGCTGAGATCGCGCCACTGTACTCCAGCCTAGGTGACAGAGCAAGACTCCGTCTAAAAAAAAAAAAAATTTCAGCAATAAAGCATATCTACTGACAACTTGGAGGATCTACTACAAGCCCAGGAAAAGACGAAAGATGAACAAAAAGAGCCAACTCCACAGCCCCACAAACACTGCTGCACACACACCATGGGTCAGCCAAGTGAGAGGCTCAAGAACTCTCACACACGTTTGCCATTTATCAAAATGAACAAAAACAACACTGACTTGAAAAGACAACCTTATTATTATTATTATTTTTAATGAGCCCTACGTTCTCTCTGTTGCTTTTCATTGCAGTGGCTTTACAGAAGAGGGGAAAGAGGGAAGGACTGAGAGCTCTGATTGGCTGAAAAATGCCACAGACCATAAGGAAGCATTCTCAGGGCAAAACAAAACAGCTGCGATGACTGTGTCAGTTTGCTTGTCTCACTCAACTTCAGACACGGACATCTGATATCAAATGACACTTTTCATGTATGATTTTCATTCTTCCTTTACCCAGGATGAAAAGAAAGGAAGGTTTGGCAGCTTTATTTTCTCCTATGAGCGCTGAACATGCAGTCTGTGGGGTCACAGGCATAGATATAGAGGGGATGGCAGAACCCTGACCAGCCTGACATGCCTCAGTGCCTGGGCACAGCTGCTGCCTGGCACACTACGGGTATTGACTTTATTAGGTAAAAAGCTTGACTTTGAGTCTCAATATTTTTTCAACTGGAAAAGGTAGATAATATTGAGCTATATAAAATCCTTTTGTAGGTCAAAACTGTTGATAGCAGCAGTTTCATACAGTTCAACCTAATCATTCCTTCCCTGCCTATGCACAGTTGTTTTTTTTTTTTTTTTTTTTTTTTTTTTTTTACAGGATCAAATGAAATTATTTACGTGAAGGTGCACCAAAAAAACCCTATGACTATAAAAACACCATTAACTTTATAAACTGGAACAGGAATTAGCGCTTCAAACTCTATACTCGCATCGCTTTATAAATGAAATCAGAATGGCTCTTTAAAAGGCAAATCCCGGACCCACTCAAAACTATCGAATCAGAAACAGGAAGACAAGGTGAGAAATAGGCACTTTGACAAGAGCCCCAGGTGATAACTCAAATTGGGAGAAAATTTTTTTTTCCAAGAAATAAATTGCCCCCTTTGGTTTGGGGTGGCTTTCTGCTGAGATGCAGGCTTTACCCAAGCCCATTTAGTATGCCTCCTTCCTTGACAAATAAGAGACATTATAAAGAACCCAGTGAGTGGTACAGTTTTCCTAATAAGCTGGCAAAATAACTCCAGGTGAAAGTCAGTAAAAATTAGCACAGTCACTAATTACTAGGAACTGATAAAACCTGATGCAGATGTTTTTTGCCATAGGGTGTAAAGCTCTCAGTAGTTAAGTCCTGAAGGTGAACCCAGATCCCCCGTGCAGCTGGGGCAGCTGCTGCATGCCCAGTCATGACTTACCCCTTAAGATGTAGTTCTGATAGTTCTGATCAGCCTCCGCTCCCACCTTGATCAAACATGTCAGACCTTCAGCCACTACAAATTCATGTACCAAATCCTTGTCATCCTGGCAGGAAAGAAAAAAAAAAAAATACTTCAAATACTGTCCCTGTCCACCTTCCATCCCAGCTGTGCTGCTAAAAGTATGTACAAGCCTTTAAAGCCAGAATGGCCCCTACAGATTGCTCTACTCTATTCAAATGAAGCATCTCAACTGTTGCCAAAAGAATTTTACAACCAGTCCTCACATTGTCCTTTGCCAAAGACCAGTTATTGCCTTCTGGGCAATCTAATAAAGATAAGGCAAATGAATCTCCTCGCTGCCAGAAATATGGTGTCTTGTTTTTCATTCAAGAAACACCAGGCTGTACTCTTCCATGGGTCCCAAGGGTCTGGCCATGCGAAGCTTGCTGGTTTTTAACTACAGGAAACATTTGATTGCAGCAAAGACTATCAATCAGGTGAGGAACTCAAAGCCACTCCTGTGTTCCAAAGACAGTCCTTGGGACAGTAGTTACAGAAAAGGCTCTTGCAAGGGCTGAGAACCATGGAAAGCAGTTTATCCAGCCTCCAGTAGTTGTACTGCCTGCAGGACAAGCATGGAAGCAGGGTGCAGGATTGGCCATTAACCTGCAGCAACCATGCCATCCCTCAAAAGGACCACCTTGGCCGGCTTGCAGACCTGATCACAGAAGGCAGGACATGAAAGAAACCTCATGGGTCATCTCATCCAGCGGTTCTCAGACAGAAGTCTCCAGAGACCTATCAGCCAACAGAGACTGGCAGCAAGCGCATCACCTGGGAACTTGTCAGGCCCCACTCCTGCCCTCCTGATTAGGAATCTCTACAGGGAGGCCCTGTTTCTAGAGCTCAGACGGTTCTCACATTAGAATCATCTGGAGAGCTTTAAGAAGGACTAGAAAGCAGGACCTTACCCAGATGGATTTAATCCAAATTTCTGGGGTGGGGCCCAGGCTCTGCTATTAAATTCCCTAGAAAATCCTCAAGGGTTGCCTATTCAAGAACCACTGATTTAATGCTAGCTTTTCTTTACAGATAAAGACACTAAGACTCAGGAGAGGCAAAAGAAAAAAAAAAAAAAATGTGGGCAAGATCACTTAACTCCATTCAGCCAGACCCAAGCCCAGTCATTTTTTCGTAGTACCAAGCTCTCTGAGAGAGATTTTTCCACCATTGTTTTCCTCAATTGAGACTGGAAGATTTCCTCAATTGGACAGTGCCTTGTCTCAAAGGCATCTAGGATAAAGCTGAAACATTCATCTTAAATGATCACAACAGAGCAAAAATAAAAAACCTCAGTGATGTAAATGGTAGAAAGCTTAATGGAATAATGAAAGGTTATCATTATAGGAAAAGTCAGCAACCATGGCTTATCTCCAAAAGAGAAAATGTAGATGAACTGGCATAATTCTCCTGTTCCTACATGAAATTAGCCCCTTATTTTGATTTTTATGGCATTTTTCAATTATATGGATGGGGGACCAGGTAAATGTGGGCAGGCTCAGCAAAGGTTCCCTTTGAACCAGGAAAGAGCTCTTCAGGGTCAGAGCTGACTTGGGGGGAAGGGTGGGTGAGTGATGCCTGCGCCCTGAACGTAATGAAAGACAGCTGTGTTAACTCAGACTTCAAGATAATCATGGCTTTGGAAGAAAGAAAATGGGACAATATCATGAGTTTTTGGAAAATTACTTTACGCTCATATGTATAAAGGAAATAAAAAATAATTCTCTCTCCATCCATATCCTTTTCCACCAGCATATGTGAAAAGTGAACATTTAGATGAGCTCATGTCTAGTCAGAAAGTTTTTCCAAGCACGTAACAAATGTTTATTACTTTAACTAAAACTAGATTCACACATGACTTCATGGTGAAAAAGTGAGAACAAGCTCTCAAGAAACCACTCAAGCTAATCACTAATATTAATATACCAGAGAATTGACTGTCTGGCAAAGGCACTTGGAAAAAACACTGGACAGGCGAGACAGTGTTTATAAAAATCATTCAGAACTGAGACGTATGCACATATGTAGATAAGGCACTCAGGAAAGAGAAATTTATTGATAATTAATTTGGAAAAAATCTTCCAAATTGGCAATGTGCTAGATTTTACACATATATCCTAAAATATATGAGCATTAAGAAATGACTTTCAAAACACTGGTTTCAGGAAAGTGAAATCAAAATGTTAACACTGATAGGTGCTTATTGCTGCATTTCAGAATTTTCTGTAATGTCATATATTAAACTGTGATCATTTTTTAAATGCCTATTGGTCAAGGAATATTCAACCCAAAGAGATGACCAATGCCTCTGTTTTTCAGACACTTACAATCTGGTTTGGAAAAGAACGTCCACACCTAGAAAACACGAGAGATGATGGAGACGCCGACCCACGGGTATGGAAGGTGGTGATCCATGCCCAGACAGCACCGCTGCGTGTGTAATCCAGTTAATCCCCCCATGCGTCGCTGCCCTGTGGTCGAGTGCTGTTTTGTGCACCCGTGTGTGGTCTTCCAAACAGACTATAAACTTCTAGTAACAAGCACCTTCTTCCTTGCCTACACAGTGCCAACGAGGCTGTTCAAAAATATTTGTTTAATGACGGTCCCGGGAATTCAGAGAACAAACACTACAGAGTAAACTTGGTTGAAAGGATCTACAAGAGTCCAAGCATGTTTATTTTTTAATGTTTTCAATTGAGAGAACTTTAAACATATACAAAAGACAACAGAATAATCTCGTGAACTCCAGGTGCCAATCAACGCACACCAACCCTGTTTCATTGATCATCCTACTCCTTCCCCTGCCACATTAATCTGAAATGAGTCCCATACATCACATCATTTAATCCATAAACATTCCAATATGTATCTCTAAACTACAGGAACTCTTCTTAAAAATATGTACTCACAATAAAAAATACTTTTCATTATGAAATGTCTAGTCAGTGGCCACATATCCAACTCTCTCATAAATATTGTTTTTTTTTTTTTTTTTTTTTTGAGATGGAGTCTCGTTCTGTGGCCCAGGCTAGAGTGCAGTAGCACGATCTCTGCCCACAGGAAGCTCCGCCTCCCTGGTTCATGCCATTCTCCTGCCTCAGCCTCCCGAGTAGCTGGGACTACAGGCACTTGCCACCATGCCTGGCTAATTTCTTTTGCATAAATACTGTTTTTCACAGTTTTATTAGGATCCAAGTAAGACTCATACATGGCATTTACTTGATATGACTCTTGAACATCTTTTAATTCAATGAGTTTTTTTCTTTCCCACTGGAATTTGTGTGTTGAAGAAACCGGATCATTTGTCCTGTAGAGTAGCCCACAGTCCGGATTTTGTTGGTTACACCCCTGTGGTATAGTTTAACGTGTGCCTCTGTCTTGAATCATTTACAAATAGTTTATTGCATATACAGGCATGCAGATCCAGAGGTGATTTTTTTGGCTTGACCACATCATCGATGGTAGTTTGTATTTCCATTGGGAGGCACGTAATACCTGGCTGAATCTCATGCTCATCATGTCAGCAGCTCTTGGGCCTCACCACATAGATCCATTAAATCATTCATTAGGGGCTGAAGGATGGTAATATTCTCATTCTGTTACTCCCTCTTGCTTATTAGGTAGAATATTTCTACAAAAAAGACTTCCCTTCAACTATTCAATCATCCTAAAATCCGTAAGTGACAAGGCAAAATAAATGTGAGATACTAAAACTTAATTCATCTCCAAAATAGTAAGCTAGTTCACTAGCATCTTTCACCTTTTTGTTTTGTTTTCTGTGTTTTGTTTTTTTGTCAATCCATTGTTATTTTGTAGTGTCATTATGAACTCAGTACAAACTTAGTATGTTTTAATCCAGTGCAATTATCACCCTTATTGATGCTCACTGTCCCATCTTTGGCCAGCCAGTGGGAGACCCTTCAACTTGCTTCTGAGTTCTTTCGGAAATAATCCTAGACTATTCGATAGTTTTCTTGCTCTCTGTATAAGATGTTCCAAGTTAATTAGTTTATTTTATTACATTTCCTACTCCAGACTTGGAATCAGCCACTTCTCCAAGGTGTTCTGGTTCCTTTTGATGTTTCAGACCACAATCTCATTGCTAGTGGTGCTTTTTGCTAATGAATTATTGCTTCTAGCTTTTTTTAAAAAAAATTATTATTTGCTTAAGATAATATACATGGGTTCATTCTAATATTTCCAATTAAATTCAGGAACACAGAGTTGTTAAACTTAAGAATCCTAATTTTTAAGAATGTGTAGAATGACAATTAGAATCTCACACACACACCAGTCTCAGAATAGTAATACCAACACCATCATCACCAATAGGATTATTGTAAACAGTTTTGTTGTGGTTGTGGATTTTTTGGTGGTTCTTTTTGTTCTTAGGGTATATCTAACTAACACTGAACAAATAACAGTGTTTTAAAGTCATTTGGAATAGCTATTAGCTGTGTGGCTCTGCCACCAGCTCTCTATCAGGTGTGAGAGAAGTCAAAGCTGAAGAATGGAGACAAGAGGCAGGCTGATAGAGGCTGACAGACTAAATGAGGAAGGTGGAGGAGTGCTGTGAGCATGGCCCTCTGGTGGCATAGAAACAGTCTAGCCCAACTGCAGTTGGGGATCTGAGCCCAAGAAGAGGGCATAATGGAAGGTGAAGTTTTGTTGTGTTCAGCTACGTATCAGGAAGACACACGTGGATACTCTGAAGTGGAGTTTTGGGAAATTAATTAGTTAGCACAGAAATTAGAGACAGGAAGGACTGAAGACAGAGACATCTGCTAGAAGACAATTCAAGTTACCCAGTCCATTCATTTATAGTTTAAGTGGTACCAGATACTATGCTAGGCACAAAAGGCGTGGCGATGAACCCCAGTGAGCTCACAGACTACCAGACTCAAGACAAGTGCTTTGAAGTATCTTAAGTTCCATACAGTTTGAGTATCCCTTATCCAAAATGTCTGGGACCATCAGTGTTTCAGAGAACATTTACATGTACATAATGACATATCTTGAGGATGGAACCCAAGTCTGAACATG